TATTTTGGATGCGATTAATCATTTGACAGCACTAATATATATATATATATATATATATATATATATATATAAGCCTGAATGATTCATACATTTCATAAATTTATTGTTTGAGTTTGTGCATTGCATTTATGCTCTAGGGAGGTTCAGATGTACAGTAAACAGATTTTTTGCAACATTTGAAAATTGCTTTTTGAAAAGTTTTTGGCCTATAATGCATAAATATTTATAATTTTGCATAATAACATGTATTTAATTCATATAAAGTTACAGCAGTTGATCTGCTTAAACAGAAATCTTTGAAGTGCAGACGGCTTCCAGCTCCATCTACTAATAAGGTGTGTGTGTTTGTGAGAAAGCCCAGAAGCGCTTGGCTTGATTTACTCAGTATGACGTAGAGCCGGACTAAGATGAAATAAAGTTCTTGCCTGAGAGAAGAGAGAAGTTGCTTATGCCATTGATCTTGAGCCTAAAGCCTCACACATGTTGTGCTGAGAGGTGTTACATTCAGTCTGGCAGCCTCCTGAGATGCAATTCCACAGTCATCCCTCCTCAACACTCTCCACAAGGAAGTATCAGGGAAGTCAATTGCCTCAGCGACCCAAGGGAGCCAACGCAGCAAGAGCAACGCTCCTGGCTCCATCCGCCTCTGGGAGTATAATAATGAGCGCTTGCCATTGGCTTGCTTCAGTGCACATTTCCACACCAGAAGTTTTTTTTTTCTGTCTGACTCTTAAGCAGCATTATTGAGGAATCACAGATAGGCAGGTTGCCATAAATGACTCATCTTTGCATGGTCTGCTTGGTCTTTTCAGTCTTGGTCTGAGTCAGAATCAGTCCTGTAATGGTGCTTCATGCGTTCAACTGGAATTAGCAGAATAAATTGAGGGTTTTGGGTTTAAAAGACGCACATGCATTTAACATTCACCATTTTTACACCTCAAGAGCAGTTGCCTTAGCACAAAAGTCCATCAATTTAACCAAGAAGAAAGAAAGGAGTTATGGGATGTAATGAACGCAAAAAGATTCTTTAATCGCATTGAAACTCAGTCTTCCCTGAAAGTATTGTTTTCAAATATTGGAAATGTCTTCAAAAGAAATATCCATCCATACTGGTATCTTCTATTGCACAGCCAGCCCAAAGGCCCATCATCATAGAGAATAAAAGTAAAAGTTTTAATTTCTCATGTTTGAACCTGAAATTTCAAGTAACACTTAGAACAGCGTGAATAAAAGGAAATGACAAACTCCCCTACTGAAGAGGTCTTTAGTCGACAGGCGACAAGTACCGTTTTTTCCTTGTTCCGTGCCTCTCTTCACGCCCCTTGGAGCCTTCAAATACCTGTCCAATGTCATTATTTGCAACAGGCACATTAGGTGGAGAGCGGTGGTTTCTCCTGCCAGAGTTTCTGCCATGCTGGGAAAGTAGGGCAGCTTTGAACTGCACAGAGTCGAAGGGACCAAACTGTTTGATCTATTCCTCACCTTTCCAACAAAAGGAATGTCACGGAGGGGCAAATGGGATGTCAAGGGTAGTGTTCTGTGTTCCTGTTAGAGGGCTTGTTCAGTTGGCCGCAAGTTTTCAGATGTTCTCCTTGTTTCCTCATTGTACATCAGTAGCCTGTTTGCACATATCTAGCTAACAAAACTTCATCTTCATTATTGACCCATTCTGAGACCTTGTAAGATGTTAAAGTTTTGTAATAGGATGAAATTGTTTTCTCACTGCTTATCTTTACTGATTTTGGTGGTTTTACGCTCGTACTATGCCCTGCAGTAATGTCCGCATGAATCAGCTGTATGAATCATTTGATCATTTATTCAGAGAGTGAACTTATTTATAATCTGATACATGCTCTTAAAGACACAGTATGGAATTTTCACCACTAGAGGGTGAATATTCAAAACAAACAAAGAAACAAATGCATAGTTTGATGACTGCTTCCTTTCATTCCGGTCATGTGTATGTTGGGTAAAGCAGTGCTGTTTTATCATACTAGATACATTTGATTGTGTTGAAAGTTCTGTTATAGTGCTACTCTGTGCGTTCGCTCGGCAGCTGCTATGAGACACTTGTTGCACACTGCAATAAGCTACATCGAAATTAGAATATCATATTAATAAATGCTGGATGGCTTGCTAAATGGCATGCAATTAATTTTAAAATATATTGTATGATGCTTTATTACTGTTACTACAAATAAAACTGTATCTAATTATACAATGTTAGCCACTTGACAAAATAGTCTTTTCTCTGAGGCATGGTAAAAGCATGGTACTCACAGTAAATCAAGAAAACGAGATTGAATCAATAAAGGTGCATTCACGCCATGTCGTAATTACGAGATACCAACTTGTAAAAAGCATTTGCTTCCTCGTAGAACTCGTAATTACAACTTGTAAACTGGAAATTTTCTAAGAGCTACAACTTAGACCACTGTACCACCTGACCGCCTCAGATTCATTTAGGTGTTATGTTTAGGTGTTGATAGTGCTGCCATAGAAATGCATAATTCCGAGTGCAAGTACGTGAACATCTCCGATTAGAATTTCGTATTATCGAAATTATCGTAATTACGACATGGTCTGAACACAGCATAAGACTATACAGTGTGAGCTATATAACAGAGATTAGTTTTCATTTAATTTCTATACATGTATCCAAACAGTTGCTCACCTGTCTAATAAAACGCATAACATATTAAAGCGTCTTTGGTGTTTCCATGGTTTCTTCAAAATAAAACCAGAAATTGAGGGTGTATGACATCATTGGCAGATGACACAATGGCACGGTCCGTTACACTAGTTAAAATTGCTTATTTCTCTGGATTTAAACATTCTTGGAAACATTTGGGTATAATGTAAGTACACAAGTCAACAAAATATATAACACAGTTTTAGTGTTTTTTGGATATTTTAATCAAAACAATCTTACATATTGTGCCTTTAATATCTCATACAGGCAACTTAATCCACTTAGACAGTGTATTCCAGCCTTTAGTTGCTCTTTTTTAATAATGCAGTATATGACTATGCTCTCAGCACACTCAGCAGACCCACTGATTGATGTTCGCAGAGACGTGTCATAGAACCAGTGGCCAATGGCTTTAGTTTATCTCCTCCATCAGCCTTTCAGGTTGCTTCAATCACACATCAAACAGGCTTTCTCCACAGCCACTGACTCCAGATCATTCGTCCATTGATTTCTGTACCTCCATCTGCCCATTGATTTTTGTAATGACTCCGCACTAGGAGGCCTTAATTAAACTAAACTGACAGGATAACAGTGGGCTAATGTAGCGTACGTTGATACTAAAAAAGGATGTTGTGTGGTGCACCCTCATCTAATAGACAAAACAAATTAATGTATGCATTATTGTAGACTTTTCTCTGTTTCTTTTTTTTTTCTAGGATGGCTACTCACAGTATCACTTTGTTGGCTCGGCCTCAACAATAGAGAGAGACAGACAGAGACCGTACTCATCCTCACGCACTCCGTCAGTATCTCCAGTCCAGACGTCCCCTAATAACCGATCAGGTGAGTATACGTATTTATCTTTCTCAACAATGACACCATATACATTTTACATCTGCAGTGCTGAAATATTGAGTTGCTGTCCATGGTCCTGAAATCCAAGATCTACAGTCTGGATTTAAAACAATTACAAACAGCAGGTTGATTCTCTTTTTAACCCTGATAGAATCCTATTAAACTGATGGGGATTTCTCAGTGCATCCTGGGACTCAGGGTTAATGATCCACACTACTATTGGGGTTAGTGGATTCATGGCCGGCTGGTTGTGGCTCTAATACCTTTTCCGGTGGACTTAGCATCTCGCTGAAGCAGAAAAGTACTTTTCCCAGATTCAGAATTTGAGAGGGCCGTTGGTGGAGGAGGCTGAGCAGCAGAAGAGGGAATTTTAGGACTAATGGGTCTTTAAATGACTGGAAGGCGAACAGAGTGATGAAATTAAGTTCTTTCTTCCTTTAATGCAAAATTTAAGTGTTACGTTAAATTTTGTATAGAATTCCTTCCCAGGCCATTTCATCTATGATGAATATATAGCCAGTGTTATCCTGCAGTTTTAATGTTGTTTTTTTTTAATAATAGAATATATTATAATATAATATAATTATGTATACTGAGTAAAATATAAGTATATATTTTATTTTTTACTGTATTTGATATTTTATGAAAAAAATATATAATAATAATATTATTCCCAAAAAACAGAACCAGTCAGTAACAATATTGATTCCAACAAACCTTAACTACAGAAAATAGTGATTGGTTTGATTTTAACATGACTGAAAATAAAATTTTGGGGTTAAGTTAATCAGATGTTAATTCATGGATTCAGTGAAGGATTCATTAGGCCGATTTTGTCAGGGTGATTCATTAAAAGATTTGGGTCATAAGTGTCATTTCGTTCATTAATCGTATTAAACTAAACACATTGTTTGTTTTTACACACAGACAGGAAGGTGCGTTATCTTTGCATTTAATTTAGGCTGCAAGATCACGTCTCATGTAAAATGAACATTTGTTTGCCATGACACTGTAGATTCAGTTGACTAGCGGTAGGAAATATGGCATAGAGCAGTGCTTACATGATTCAACATGATCTCTGTAGATTTTTAAAATAAATTGATTCATTGTCTGCTTGTTTTCTCAGTTGAATCTCTGAGGTTTCCAGTCATCCACTGGCTTGCAGCAGGTTTCATGCTGTTCTGTCTGCAGGCTTTTCCTCTATGGTCTGAGCTCCAGTGTGTGTCATGAAAACGGTGAACGGTAGATTTTTGAGATCAAAGCACTCAAAGTTAGACGGCGAGAAGGAAGGTAGGGGAAAGAGAGACATTGGTGTGTCTAAGGTCTTGTAGGCGTACCGGAGAGTAGCTGTGCTCTTTGGTTCAGAGCATCAGAATGTGACCGCAGGGTCTCGCCTGTGCTGCTACTCAGTTAACATTTCCTAAGATTCATGTGAGCTCAAAGCCAAAATAATACAGCAAAATTGGCAGTACTATGTTATTCATTCACTTCACAACTCTGCAATTATTTCTAATACCATGACCTTGCCATTTTGTTGCAGCATTAGAGACATGTATTCACTGTGTGGAAAGATATTTATTTGTATACTCATTATTACCAAGTTCTGGCAACTTTTCTGAAACCGCTTTTGGAAAAAAATGAACAAACAAGCAGAGCACGAGAGTTTAATGCATTTTTTATTTCAATAAAAGCCTTTACCAATATAAATGGTCTTTTTGTGGGCGTATTCGCCCACCAATAAAAGTGGCAATATTTTTAATGGATATTATTTTGTGCAACACTGTAGTATCAAATTTAAGGTAAGAAATTTATTTTGTTTAGTATTTTAATTTTCAAAAATTTAAGAATTAAAATTAAAACTATTTTTTTGCAATTGTTTCAGGTTGTTTAATTTGCCATTGCTAAGAGCTACTCAAATTTGAAAAAGCAGGATTTTTTTTTTCATTCTATTTTTTTATTTTTTTGGGCAAGTAGACAAAATCATATCATGATTTGATATGATATGAAATTGTATATGAAATATTTTGCTATAAATCAACTTTAGGTTTTTTTTTTTTTTAATGATTCACTAAATTAAATATTTTACAAATGAAAGGTACCTATTTTCTTGCTTTATTCTCTTTTCATTGGAATTTGATGGACTCATACCAACACATAAGATTATTCATAACAAATGCATAAATCTGGCTGAAGTGCAAAAACAGCTTCACTCAATGTAACACATCAAAACCGTAATAGATTATAAATATGATTGGATGAGCCACATTTGACATCATTGTAAAATTAGCTGATATAACCTGAAGCACCTGCATGGTCTAATTCTGTATTAATGCACTCAGCAGCAATGTTGCTTGGCAACCATAAACGTATAGTTAGAGCAGATACCAGCAGAGCGTCGTGACACATCAAAAGTGAATCACTCCCATTATAATCAACAGATACACTGGAAGCATTCATCTTTGAATTTGCACCATAAAAGCATTCATCACACAGTTTGCAGAGTAGATTATGGTTTTGTGCTTGGTGCATTTATGAATATATTTATGTAAAATAATAAAGTAGATAAATTCAACTAAAAAAGCCGTGCAAAATGATGCCATATTTTTTACTTTATGCCTTACAGTGTAAATATTGTCATTTAAAAATGATAGACAGAAGACCGCTGATTTTTTTCATCATCATTTTATTACTATCAGCAGACCTCACATTAAAATTACACCAAGATCAATGTTTCTGAGGCAGTTGCTAAGTTAAGTTGGAGCTCTGCCTGGTCAGTACATCCACATCAATTATTTTGGCATGAACTTCAATCCAGAGTTGACACATTTTTGCTCACTTTTATAATTTAATCATGAAGCACAGAGGTGATGCTACTAATGCCACCAAACAAGGCCTTCAGATATACTTTCATGGGATGCCAGACACTAAGAACACAAACAGCCATGATGTGGAGTCGCCAGCTATTACTGTATTACTGAGACACATTGAGGGCAGCAATTTAGAGCTCTTTGTTCATTTTAATAAAGTACAATTGAGTTCATTACTGGTATTTAAAGGAATAGTTCACCCAAAAATGAAAATTTACTCACCCTTTGACCATGCATGATGTAGAGTTTGTTTATTTATCAGAACAGATTTGGAGAAATTTAGCATTACATCACTTGCTTACCAGTGTATCCTCTGCAGTGAATGGGTGCCGTCAGAATGGGAGTCCAAGCAGCTGATAAAACCGTCAGAAATTTACAAGTAATCCACACAACTCCAGTCCATCGGTTAACATCTGGTTGTGAAGCAAAAAGCTGTGTTTTTTAAGAAACAAATCAATCAAGGCATTTTAACTTTAAACCATCAATTCTAGTAAAAAAAAATACCAGTCCATAATCCATAATAATGCTTCCTCTAGTGGAAAAGTCCATCCCCTGTTGTTCTCTCACATCAAAATCCACAGACATATTTGATTAGCACTGTTTGGGACTGTTTTTGTTTGATCTGCACATATTTCTCTCCTGATTCAGACAAGTTGACAATATTATGGACAAGAGGACATAGCCGATGCAATGGTTTGAAGTCCTAATGATTTATTTAATGATTGATTTCTTTCTTACTGTACAAACATGCAGCTTTTCATATTACAGGACATTATTTGATGGATTGGAGTCATGTGGATTACTTGTGGATTATTGTGATGTTTTTATCAGTTGTTTGGACTCTCATTCTGATGGCACCCATTCACTGCAGAGGATCCATTGGTGAGCAAGTGATGTAATGCTAAATTTCTCCAAAACTGTTCAGATGAACAAACAAACTCATCTATGTCTTGGATGGCCTGATGGGTTAGTACATTTTCAGCAAATTTTCATTTTTGGGTGAAGTATTCCTTTTTTAGTGGAGATATCAAATACACATTGTGTTAATGGATCGAAAGTGTATGGAAGCAATCTGTAGATCACTTCAAATACAATCTATGATGTGGCTGAGATTGAACTGCTTACCCTGACTAAAAGAGCTTTTTATTGTCACAATTTATCATTTTTGAGAAAGAAGGGAAAGTTGGCCTTCACAGTTTTTTTGTTTTGTTTTTATAGACATACAAATTGCTAATTTCCTGTTGTAACCTATATAACATAGTTGTTCAAGTTGACTAACATTTAACTTCAACAACAAATTAATGTCATCAGGTTTCATAGGAATTTAATTTGCAAGGAATTTATTGACAATAATGGTCCAATCCAAACTGTTGTGTGTATTAGCTGGTATATCAGGACATATTTCTCAGAATCAAGTCCATTCAGTGCTGTAGGCAAGGAGATATACGCAAGTTTAGCAATAATCAGTTGTTCCTCTCCTAATGCCTGTGGAGCTCAGACACAAAAGCCCTTTCGCTAAATCTGGCTAAATCACGAAGATCTGCTTTCTAGCACGTATCTTCACAATATCAATTTTTCTTACATGTACATCGAAAAATATTGTTTTCATTTTCTACCATTAAGGTCATCAACTGTTCAGTAGAGTTGCAGCTTTACCTGAAGACAATCGAATCAGAAAGCACTGTACACTGTGTTAAATGCATCAGTAGTGATTTTCTGCAAAACTGCTTTGTGTGTTTCTGAAAATCTGTATTCGTGAGGTTTATAGAAACATGACAGAAGCCTTTGAGAGTCTCATCGCTTGTTGACTCCGTAACCGCTGGAGCTCCTCAATATTTAAGACCGATTATCAGTTATGTGCATATTTTTGCAAAATAATGCATTGTTGAGGAGCAATTATTAGATTAGGAGTCATATCAAGGCAGTTTAGAGGAGGGTAAAGCACTTGCGGTTATAATCTGATTATGGGTTTGAAATAATTAGCATGCTAATGTTTCTCTTGGCCATTGTGGGAAGAGTGGTGCTTAAAGCGATTATGTGATTTATTGGAGTGTGTGTATAAAAGAGCGTGTGTATATGAGCCGGTTTATGTTTCATGGTCAGGGCTAATCAGTAATAGGT